TTTTCATAACTTCCATTTATAAACAAAAACATATCTATTAATTCTAGAATTGTAATTTATGAAACTTAAAAATTTTTTTAACATAAAACTTGAGGCAATTTTTTCACGTCCTTATGAATCCTAATAATAGGAATAAATATTTTTTTATTAAAGCGCAGTAAAACAGCTTGACTGTTAGGTTTTCATGAAGATTTTTATTTAGATTTGATACTAATGTATTATACAGCTTTTTGTAATTGATTGTCAGGAGTCGGAGTCGTTCAACGTATTAATATATTATAGCGTTATTTTATAATTGAGTTTAGTGTTATTCAACATTTAAACGTTATAAAATTTTTATCATTAACGTTTTCAATATTGAAATATTAATGTTATTAATATTATTTTTCATTTAATGTTTAACGTTAAAAGGCTTTTAATATAGGCAAATGACTGCTTTTTTTTTTAAGTAAATTTTATTTAAACATACTGTTTTTAAATAATCAATTTTTTTTTTTAATAATATTTCTTTAACGATATAAGTTATGTTAAGTTTAATAATATTTAATATTTATTCAAATCGTATATTTTTGGTTTTTTGAATAAAATTTTCGTTTTAGTTGTTATAGTTATTAACGATATTCATAACATTTTGTTGTTCTGGTAATTGTAATTAATTTTTCAAACATTTTTAATATATTATTTTTTAATTTATAGTGTAGATACAAAATGCTAAAAAAATAGAACCCAAACATTTTAAATACATTTCTTATTGATTAAATATTTATCGAACATTCAAACATTAACTTTTCCATTGAAATGTATTTAAATGTATTTGTGTTGACTATCTAAAACTCCTATTATAAGTAAATCTTATCGGCGAGTTTTCACGGCGCATGTGAATGGCAAGTTATACACTCAAGCGTTGAATTATTTTTAATACTCAAAATTAAATAACCAGTAATTTGTTCCTTCAACTATTTAATAATATTCAAAATCAACTACATATTCAAAATATTATCCTGAGATACTTTATCAAATAATTTTAATTATTACAATCTAAAATGACTTTCTATCTAGAATGTCTGCGCCAAAGAAAATACAGAAATTTCAAATTTAATAATTTTATGTCTTTATTTAGTAAAATTTAAATATTTATTTTTATATTACATTATTCTAATAATAATAACGACTTTGCTTTTTTTACGACTATGATACAACAATACGGTGTTTAAATAATATACATAAAAAATGACGGTTATAAAAATCATTAATTTGGTTTAATTATCTTCTAATATTGTTTAAATTTTAAGAAATTTATTTAATAAATCTTTAAGCTGGAAAATTCAATTAAGATTTTTTCACAATCGGATGAATCCATCTCAATTACAACAATTTATGAAAATTGCGTAATTTTTATAAAATCATAGTTTGTGAAAAGAAATTTACTATTTTACTTGTGAATTTCGACCACTAGATATTTGGAAATGACTAAAGTCAATTTTTACAGAACCTTCTAAGGTTCTGTTATTCGAATTGTATTTTACTAGATTTTACGTTTTTGTTTTAATTGATTCATAATAATCGTGTCAATGTACGTTTAGTTTCTACGATTGGGATTCGTTAAGCGCTTGGCCACGTTGAAATTCGAGATAATATAGTTTTACTTAATATAACTTTCTCAAATTTAATAACTAACTCCGTACAGATGTCGACTACTTTAACTATAACAACCACAATCTTACTAGAGCTACCACATGACCCGGGTAATGAACAGCGGTCGTTCAGAATGACCTCTGGTCGTAACGCTTTTCATTACACATTATATCCCAGTGCAATGGACGATCAGATTGTTTCGCAAATGTGATAGTGTGTGTGTTTTATTTTAGTGGTCGTGATCAAACTTAGGAATTTCGTAAAGAAAAAAACAAAGTAGCAACCTTGACCCTATTCCTCGATACATATTAAATTATCGTAAATTTACCCGCCTCTACGTTTACCTTCGAGGTCGCCAAAATCCATAATGACATCGAGCAGATGTACGGGCAACCAGTTACAACTTGGTCGAGAAAAACATTATAGCATGGAAACCATGTGAAGTTATGATAATTTTTTCTTGTCATATTCTTTGGCTTATAATTATTTCCCTGTGTAATGCAATAACGCGTATGACCTAGTAATCGCCACCGCCAGTCGGCAAACACAATGGGTCCCAGTACTCGGTTGCTCGGAAATTAAGGAAATCCGTGAGAAAGTACCGCACCGCCACACGACTTGTGCTCGCCCCGTGCGCCATCCAACCACGTGCTCGTATTTTACAGTGTTAAATGGAGGAGAAATAATGTACACTATTTATTTAACAAAGGATCATAAAAAGATAATGTCGTTTCGTATTCAAAACGATTTCTTATGTGTACATCGCATAGACACCGGCTCGGAGTATGAATAAACACATATCGAATATTCTTCAGTACAAATAAACGAGAAGAAATCTTGATAAATCGTTTAAGATATTATAGAATCGATAGAGTAAAATAACATGTCGGTTTAGCATTTGTGACTTCAACGGTGTAATAACTTGCCTACACGAAAGCAAAAGTTTTTGCATTACGATACATCTTATTACAGATTTTATACTGCTGTAAAAAATGAACAGAACAATAATATGAATTGATTCCAGTTATTTTGTGTCATTCGCACATTTCTATTTGTTTATTTTTTAGATATTTATTGTAATCCGATAGTCCAATTTCTAATGAGAGTAAATAATTTTTTTCTCGAGGTGGCATTGAACAAGGTTGTTGTAACTACCGGTCGCACAAGTAACTGTTCCGGGATGTACACTGCAGTCATGTGTTTGCACGTTTGCTTGTCCGTGTATTTATTGCAAATGACCTCATTAGAAGTTCCTTAACACTTGATATATTGAGTCACTATAATTTACTGCTGACTATCGTTTAATTGCGTCCGGGAAATGACCGAAGATGATGAGTTCACGTCGAATAATTCGAGTACAAGTAAAATGATTTTACCGTTTTTAATTATCTTGTTTTTTGATTCCACAATTTTCAAACATAAGACTCATCATAATAGAGTTGAATTTATTCTTTGTATAGTATAGACTGGTACCACACGTTGATCAACTACAATTGCATTAATGAATAATTAAAATTATGTTGCAATATTCATCGAACAGTATTGGTGTAAAAAAAATTACAGGACATTTTGTATACAATTTGAAACGCCCAACATTATGAAAATGATGTTATGTAACAATTATATTTTGTTAAGTATCTACGCGTTATGAAAACAAGAAAAAAAATTGCTCTTATCACAAAAATGTTCACAAATCCATTTAATAACTGGTGCTTAGAGGCTCGTTAAAGCTTAATTTTATAAATAATGAAAATAATAGAGTGTTATCAATGTATGTATAGATTTAAACCTTAATACAATTATCAATTATTGCCCAAAGCTATTTGTTTATTGGTTTTGGAGTTGAAATGACCTTTTAATGATTTGTGTGTTGTATAAAAGTATATGTGTTAAAATTGTTCTTATACTGAGTGTTATAGCAAAATTATTTTTTATATTAGTAAAGCGGAACAACTTAGTGTACTATGCGTAACCTTTTATTGTTTTTTTATATTCAATTTTTTACCAACATATACTAAAAAAGTATTAAATAAAAGAAGACTAACTGTTGTACGTCTTAATTTAACTTGAAAGAATTAACTATTTCATACGAAACTTTGCGAAGAGTTTCGGACGACACTGACAGAGTATTATGATTTCACGTCCTTTACCAAAGATCTTTGTTAAATATAATTTTGTAAAATTTTTGTTAAAAAAACTGAGTAATTTTTTTCGGAAATTTACAAATAAAATGTCATGTAATATATACAACATATGTAATATGTTCAATAATATGGCGGATCTATCATTATATCTTCAGAAATATTATAATATCCCACATGGTCTTGAAATAAATAAATAATTTATCTAACTTTGAACCGTAAAACTCATGATAGCACTTTATACTTATATGTTTTGACGATTTTTTACGTTTGACACCCAGCTCCACACTTGTTATCAAGTAATACATACACCGATAAGACGTTTTATTATGTTTTCGCTACTTTTAGGTCATTGCGTATACAATTCAATTGGCTATAGAAAGTATTAGTAACCGTTGATTGTCGCTGTTTACTCATGCAAGACATAATTCGTGAAAATCTCTTTAACACGGCGTCTCAATAGTGTGTTGATGTACATAGATAATAATGATTTAAAGTTCGTCCCTATTTCACACATTATAACTGGTAATTTGTTGTTCAATATCACACACGATCGATAACATTTCCTTCTCTGCCTGCGCTGCACTTTTTTACAAAGCGTAAAAAATAATTCAACTGCTTAAAATAATAATAACAATAATGGGCGTTCACGTTACGAGCTGTTAAACTATTTTAATGCGATAACGTAATGGTTATATTACTTTAATTTAAAGATCCGTCAGGAACACCTATCACATGTGATGAGCCATAACGTTTGGCTTGATATTAGCACACCTTGAGTTTGTGTATCAATTCATTGTGTTTAATAGGCACCTAATAGACCAAATTTCAGGTAGACTCATAAAAGCACCTACTTGAAATAATACCCAAGGGTCATAGTAATGAATAACTGAAGGACGGAATGTCTTCTAATATTATTATCTTGCATTTTGAATTATGTTTGTAGAAAAATAAACCTTATAAAGAACAGTTAATGTCCTTTAATCAATTGACCCAATTTAAAATATCTACACAGTTTAAACTCTTTGTTTACTAGATGCTTTTTGTAACAACTTAGCTCATTAATTCAGTGATTTAAAATAGTAATAAAAAAGTTGTTTTTATGTCTTAAAGTTTTTATATGTAAGAACTTTAATATGCCATTAATTGAACCTTTATAATATAAAAACTTATATTACACTTATTTTAGCAAACGGGATAGACTTAAAATAGAATTTTTCAATCTATCACCTTAATTTGACACTAGTTTTGTACGAATGTTACTGTAAAAAGTAGCTACATCGAATACTTTAATTGGATAAATAGTTATCTCTTCGGTAACATGTGGATTCCATGGCGTAAATCAAAATTATCTCTGTTACATCTCCAAAATGACTCGATAGGAGAAAAATACACACAAATTGAAAGTCGGATTACTTGTTTGGCGGTTTTCACAAAGGGCGCTAACATGAAATCATAAAATAAAATTTCCCTTCAGCATACTATAAAGTAAAAACTAATTCCTTGGTAATCTAACAAAGTTGAATAAGATAACAATGTCATTTTACAAACTTGTTCATTACATGTAGTGTAAACGCATTTTTTGTAAATAAATGGGAAATATTGTACGTTGTATAATTTTTTGTACCGCTAATGGCTAACACAGTAAATATATTATCTGTACAAACAAAAGCACTCAACTCATATAATATATATATATATATAAGAATATATCTACTCGTGGTTATTATTGTTTTATTTTTGAGTATTACAAGCTGATATAATATAGTTTTTGTACTGCTTTTGGTAGTAAGACGAATAGTCTGTCATATGCATTCTAGAACGATTTTGATTTACTTCGATACTAACTTGGTGCATATGCGTCATAGGGTATCCATCATAAAAATGCAAGTACATTTGTTTTATCAAGATACCATATTATTTTACCATCCTGAAAACGGATACTTGTTTGTTGGGTAACACGAATACTTCGAGCACCTCACTTGAATAAACATATTATTTTAACATAAAAAATTACCATTTTATATTTATCTATAATAGCTATTGAATATGACTTAACTACGAATTAAATAAGAAAATAATAATTAGTTTGACATGTGATTTTTTGAATATCAATGTACTTCAATATAAAGCCACAAACAAAGAATTTGATCTTTCAGAATACTGTTAAATGTATTTATGTTTACCAACAACTGAGGATTAACTCTTAATATATTCTAAGGCTTAAACATTTATGCGACAGGTTATAAATGAAATCTCCTCTCAGTAACCATGGCACATATAAAAGTGATCTAGTGTCGTCAAATTTAGTTGATATTCGTTGAATAAGTATAACCGTAATCAGAAAATAATAAAATAATAGTTTTATGTATTGCGGTAAAAAAATGATTCACGTACAGATACTGTTCTCACGTTTATGAATAACCGTCGCAATTCCATTCATATTACTAAAATTTTTATTCCCGTTAAAATAATGACTTGTGTTTTCTGCCGACGAAATGGAACAAACAAAAAGAACACCTTCAAGTAAATCGGTACATTCCGTTATATCTCTACATTTTATGAAATTATTAAATAATTTTTTTGTAACATTACCATGATTTTTGACGATTTTTTTTTGTTTCAGTAAAATTTCATGATAGTAATAAACTAAATAATTACAAATATAAGACAAAAGTAAATTCAAGTTAATTTAAAAGTTAATTTTTATTATTATTTCACTTTATTACGTATTACGCATAGATTATTGAAAAATATTTTGCAACGACAATCTATCAGATTACACGGGTACACCACAATGAGTCATAAATTTAACTCTTTAGAGACAAGAGAGATTACCAAATATCTGAGACAAACTAAGCTTTAAATTATCTAAGAACCAATCTTATCTAAAAATATATTTCTTTCTTGATTATTTATAACAATTTCTGCACAACTAGANACCAATCTTATCTAAAAATATATTTCTTTCTTGATTATTTATAACAATTTCTGCACAACTAGAACTTCTGATAAACATTACATTTTACAATACTCAATTGTAAAAGCTTAATCGGTCAATTCGACAGTGACTGAAATGTAACCGTACACTATCGTAATTCGATGACTAAGGATAATATTACCAGGACTTTAAAAGCTTTGCGTCGTAAAATTCTAATCCCATTTTAGTTATTATTCTTGGGACATTAACTACGCACAATATCCATTTGTTCCCATACTCCTATTGAACAATTTCATTTGTTTGGTATAGATGACGCCAAACATTCCATTTTATCACATGATACATACAATTCGTTAGGGTTATGACATTGAAGTGTACACGAGATCTTCTCGAACGTTTCCGTTGAAACGACACGCCAGTATAGTCTTTTGATTATACTGTGCACTATGTTTCCAAGAGTTAAGACAGTCAGTGAATCAAATAATTACTAACTGGGTACAATCACATCGCACACGTTTAATATAGAACTAGCGTATACATATTAAATATTTAAAGATGTCATTTATCCACGCTTAATGTGTTCGTCGACACAAACTTCAAATATATAATTAATGTGATTTTATCTGCAAGTCGATAATTCATCGAATAACCAAATAAAAGCCAACCAGTTCATTTCGCTGTCGATTACCTACGGCGACTATTTATAAATTTAAAACACGATTTGCAGTGTATATCACGACTGCAAGTGGTGATCGTCCAAAATAATTTTATTAAAACGTTATATAAACTTTTTTCTAAACGACCTTGATGTTTAAAATATATTCGTATTCGGCAAACTGAACGTGTTACGCTCTATGCTTTGTCTTTCAATTTTTAAATGCCAGATATTAACTACGTATTATTCTAAATCAAAAAAAAAAAATGGCACTTTTCTTCTTAATATACTTAAAATTAGTATTTGCTCCCTGATAATGCCAGCCATTTAAATGTAATTATAGTTATGTTACTACACCAGGCGCGTTTCAAATAATATAACTAATTATTTTGTTATTCGAGGAATCTAATTAAAACTATCATACGCCCAAAACAAGTCTATGAATTAATAACACAAGTTAGTAATTACTAAATAATTTATGATCAAATTTTAAATATTAGGTATGTTTTTGAGAATAAACGGACATCAGACTGTATTTGAGCAAATACATGTGCGTAAGTGATCTTGTCTTTGTTTTATTATTTTGTCGTTAAACGATCGGGTCACGATAAATAAAGTACATTTTATTCTTTTGTAATGTTATAAGGTGTAGATACAACGAATTCGATTATGTTTTCCCTTGAACGTCGACATTCGATTTTTTTAAATCGTAAACCCATTGTCTAGCTTTTCAAATATTGCATATCAGACTAGTGAAATTATTCAAAATTTAAAATGAATAGCACCATAGTTGAATCGTAATCGATTCTCCTAGTTTAAATTCATGAACCTCAGGTTTCAAAATGTAGTCACATATAGGAAATGTAAATAATAATAAACTTTGTTGCTGAACTACATTCAGTTTATTTAATCGAGCCAAGTCATATTATTACTAGATAATATATGTTATGTTAGATTAGAACCATAATATTCCCCTTGTTCATTATAGTTTTACTATTAGCAGCGGATAAAAGAAATATATTTTTTAACTGTTAATTGAATCATCGTAATAATACATTTAGAAATTGAAACTCTGACAAGTTTTCATTTAATTACAGTGGATTTTAGTTGGAATGAAATTCTTCTAATACCTAGAATATAGCTTTTAAGATAATCAACCGAAGATTTGAGGGTTTAGAAAAACTTACGTATGACACTTATAGTTTATCTACTATAGTTCATTGACTTCGAAACATTTTGATTTTTGCCAAGATGGCTAATGCTTTCAACAACGTTCGTGTTCGGTTCTCCCTACAACTTATAATCTAAAGGTATTGCATTGTAATAAACACTTAACCCTCTAACCGTTAAAAAAAAATTATTCTACACCATCTATGGTTGTCATGGAGTAGAAGAATTACTGACAAACATTTCAATAAAACTAGACTAAAGGTAGTTCGCTCATAGAAGTCATTATGTGCAGTACTGATATACTTTGTCCACCTACTCCTTAGTTTGTCTTTTTCTGTGTGGGTCACAAATAATTTTTTTCTTAACACAAATACTCTTGTTTTATGAATAAGACTGCAGAAAAAAGTTTTACATTGTTTAATATGTAACGTTATGCTTTAGAACGATGACACATACGAATATGAACTCCAGAGATGATAGTTACAATAGTGATGGAGATGTCGATGGCGATCTTGGATCCGACGAACCCGAAGATCGTTTCGAGCCATCACTGTTTGTAACTTCCGAAGATCAATTTTCTGTTACTTCGGATGGAAACGTGAACACCGCTTTTCTAGCTGCCAATTTATTACTACTATACTTAAACTTAGTCAGACTATCGACTCCAGTTAATAACGATCAGCATCCATTAAATTCAGAATTCACCGAAGGAAATTCTTTACCCGAGTAAGTACAAAGTATTCAATTATTTTTGCCAAATTTTTCATTCTATCGAAAATACTTTAATGCTAATAATTTTAGCAACTCAAATGTTATTTGTAAATAAAATACATATTTTTTTCAATAGCCACATGACAAAAATCCAATAATATTAGAACAAAACGTAACTGTACCAATTGTGTCTGTCGAGTAAATCCAACGCCAAATAATTCTACAGTAATATTTGAGCACGCACTCCGAAGTATTAGTTTATGTTTTTTAATTAAACCACCCATTGTAATTTAAAAAAAAAATAATCATTTAGTGGCGTGTCTGATATTATCTGTGGTAAAGTCCATCTGTCTACTATTATGTGATCACATTACAGCATTCAAAGCGTTCAGGTGGGTCACCTAAATCGAATCCAATGGCGTTGCTCTATGAGTTCATGCTTTTCGTGATTCGCCACGTTATCAATTACCATCCGCGTTTTTATATTGTAGTCAAATCGGAGTGCTCGTCCAACGTGACATGATCATCATTAAATTATAGTCGGAATTGTTATAATGCCAAAACGTGCGGCGAGTGGACCATAAAAAGAAGACGATGCTATCTAAGCGTACACTAATTTTTCATATTTCCTTTTACGCACATTTTCAACAAAAAGCTATTGTCTTTTAAGTTTCTTTAGCTGTACCCTCAATAGTCTGTTGTTTTGAATAAAGTAGACAAACTGTTTAATGAGTACTTGGCGTGTTTCCTTTTGAGAACACTAGAAAAGACTTTTATCTTTAAGCCCAGAATAAACTGTTTTTTAATTTATTTCCTAATAAGAAGAGAACAATTAAATTCACTCTAGTAGTAATACTAAAATTTTTAGTGTATACCATTAGTTCACTAAACTACTCCCAACACAAGGACTGTGTTTCAGTATAGAAATCCAAACGATAAAAAATAAGAACAACATTTTTTTCAGAAACTAGTTTTAGTAATTTTTGTTCACATTGGGAATATTAATTACGTTGAATGCAACTTTTAAAATTTTAATAAAAAAAGAAAATTTATCATTATTCAAAAATTAAAAAATTCGTCTTAAAATGATTAAAAATCCTAAAACATCATTCTGTAAAATATGACCACAAATGCTCATAAGTCAGTATGAAATTTTTATTATAAACATTAATTAATTGTGTACACATTTAATGTAATTTTGACTTATAATATCGAAAATTCGTCCCTGAAATATAACATTTTTATCATATTTATCCAAATTTTCTCCCTAACTTTACATTTTATGCATTATAAATTTTTGATATAAACATAAAATTGTAAATTATATAAAAGCGTAGGTTTGTTTTGTTAGTAAAAAATAATTAATTGATGAAAAAATTTAACGGTAGTAAGATAGTAATTTCAATTCGTATCTTATTGCATTTCTAGATGATTTAGAAAGCAAGTAATTGATAAAACAAGCGAACTTTGTCATTTTATTAAATTTACGTACAAATATTTTGAACATTTACTTTGAAGTGGACTTTATAGGAAAAAAAGATTTCTATTGAAACCTAAACTTTCAAAAGTGTATATAGAACGATACAATAGAGAAACATAATATGGTATTTCATTAAAATCGTTTGTTTAACTCGAAAATAAACTTTAAGTGAATGAAAATCTCAATACTGTATTGAACTATGAGAACTATGAACTATGAATTATATATTTATAATATAAAATTATATAATTAAACTTTTTTCGCAAATGAACGCACCAGCATTGTCATCTGTACTGCACTTTAGTTCTGTAATAATAAAAAGATATGCTGTGATAAAGTATACTGTTCTGATATCAAACGCTTTCCGAATAGCGCGTCTCATTATTATTTTTATTACTTTAAAGGTTTCTCTAATAATAAGACGATTTTCAATTTATGTTATATTTTCATGATGTAATACTCTAAGTAATGCGTTTTTCTGTTCGCATATATGTAACATCATAAAACCGATTATTCTTCTTTTGTCGAGCTCCTTTCCGAAACCTATAAAAATATTGCCAACGATATATTCGAGTTCTTTGTCATGAAACTATCCATAACATCCACCTGGATAGTTCTAAAATTACACATATGACACAAAATGATGTATTTTGTTGAGCATTTATTAAGTATTATCAGAAATGACGCTAATTTTCAAACATCTTGAATTACACTTGAATTATCAATTAGTTTTTTCGTTCACACAAATTTATTTAGTATTTATCATAACTTATTCGTTTTTAATTTATGTAATCTACGCGAATAAGCGATTCTGCATGCAAAACAAGTGGGTCGAAATTGGCGAACGTCTAATCACATTTTTATGTGTACTATATTGTTATACAATAAACCGTAAATAAAGGTTACCAAATAAGGCATTCGCAGTTTTAAATATGCATAACACTTTTGTATTGTATTTATTGATTGGTTTATTTTTATTACAATTTTTGAATTGAAACCTTCGAATCATATAACTATAGTAATTTATTAATTTCATTTGACAATCATTTAACTGTCTTCTATGAACCAATCGAATTAAAAATTAATTTAAATATTAAATTATGAAGGATAAAAATGATTAGTGTAAGCAAAATATTTTTTGTTTCTAACAGTAAAATAACAATATTTTTCCTGAATAATATGCTTTAATTTTAAAATTCATTGCACATTGTTAGATTTTGTTTGTTCTAATAATAAATAATCTGTAAAGTTAATTGTTTTATTGAGCTTATAAAGGATTCTATTGTTTTGTATCTAAAAACCATTATATTTGTAGATCAAAGAAAAAAAAATTGCCATTTTTAGTGGATTTATGATTTTTGATTGTTTGATAAAGTCTATTCTTATCTAGTAAAATTTGGAATAAACGCAACAATGTAATTTCAAAAAAAAAAAAAATAACATATAAGGAATATAATTAACTATATCCTATCAAAATGTCATGAAAAAAACTTAAGATCAAACCGAAAACAATGAAATCTTCTTAGGCAATACTATTTTCCTTTTTTGATCACAGGAAATAAAACGCTCACTACGTTAAAAATAACCTTTCTTATAAACTATTCGTCATCATAATACTTCAAAGACATTGTGTTCTATTCACATTTTCCCTTCAAATATTATTAAAATATTACTAAAACAATTATACTTATCAGTGAAGGCTTATTTTTTTATGCTAAATCATACCATTGTAGATTAGTTCCTAATTTGCGTTTACTAAGTGAATTGAGAAATTTCTCTTCAATCCGTTCAAGAATATCATTGTTCGCACCAATTGAACTAAATGATTTATAGTATTAGTATTTGTGATATGCCAATATATTTTAATTTCCAAAAAATAACAGTATTTTTAACTTTCTTTAAAAACCGTCACACCAATTATTTTCTTTAGACTGATCAACAAAATTGAAAATTTCACTACTGAAATTATTTTTACTTTTTATTAAAACCTATCTACTGTATAGTGTACCATCTTAATAATCACATAGATAATTACCGAAGAATGACTCTATGGTTAAACTCTATACGGCTTTACTAACTATAACTAATACTTCAAAGTCCCTCTAAGATAATTACTGTAAAATGTTAACTACTGTTATAAATATAAAAACAAAGATTCTGTAGTGCTTAAAAAAAAAATCATGTATTCGCTACACCTTGACGGTCACACAAATTCAAAAACTAAAATTAAAATTAATTTTCAAATCTAATAAGACAACATTTTTCTTCGAAGAACAATAAAAATAAAATAGAATCTAATTAATAGTGTTTTGATTTGAGTGGAAATCATTGACTGAATTTTTTTAAAGATTCACGGTCAACACGGCAAATTAATATTAACATTGATTCGTTTTGTTCAAATTGTTTATGTATTATTTTGATTTTAGTTCGTATAAGTTAATTGTTTTGCCAAGATCATAGCAATATATTTGTAATTTATTTATAAAATCAAAGCTGGCTCATAAATAATCCCTCTTTAGTTCCCATTGTATTTAACACAACATAGATCTTAAACAATACTTTTAACGCCGCAGTATTTTTTACACAACAGGTCAGCATTGTTTTTAAACTCTTCGAGAGTTTGCTTTTTCATTAATAAGTATAGTTCTATTTACTTTGATGAAAATTGGTTTTGATTACATATGTTAATTATTGAAAAAAATACTACTTTTAACACAACAAAAAAGGTCAGTTTAAAAAATTAAAAGGTTCATTACTGTCACATAATTTCCTTTAGGAAAATATTCAGAATTCTCTTTATGATAATTAACACTATTGTTCTGGTTTAAGTTCAATCATTATAATGAATATTATTCAAACCAACATTGTCGAGTTATTTTCTTTGATAAAAAGTAAAAAAAATTCTCGAATAATAAAACAGTTTAAAAATTACATCGAAGAAGGTAAAAGTAAAGACAATGGAAAAAAAAATCGTAACTTTTTCTTAATATAAACAAAAAATGGAAATTCTCGCCAATTTTGGTCGGCAAGTTTTCATTGTACTCAAAAATACATATATTGTTATATTGCCTTCATGTCCTTAATTTGATGTTGTTCATTTATATTATTAACTGTATCTGTAGACACAATTCTTGTCCGAGAACTTTGATCAACGAGTCAGAAGAGCGCTCGAGCGTTGGCGACGGCGAGCGGTTGCCCGGGGAACCGGGACCGTCAACAGACGTATGGTCGTCGCCAGACTTGAATAGGGAACGCCGGCCGTCGGTCACAACCATGATAACCGTGGCTGCGTGTGGAGCTAGGGCGCGTCCCAAACCCACTGCCCTATTTCCTGTCGACCTTGCCGAACGGCTAAGATCACCACCGCTGCATGGCTCCAGACCTAGGCAGTACGGTCGAAGGCGAAGAAGTGAATCTCTGGATGTACATGAAACGTCCACTGTGCAACTGGATGTTGAGAATGAACTGGCGTCTGAACAGGACCAGTCGACCGGACAGGACGAAGTAGAACAACACGAACCTAGACTCATCACTCCACTCCGGTAAGTAATTAACACTGATTAAGCTTTCTATGTTAGACCAATAAGGAACTACAATTTGATGTAATATATTACTAGTATAGCTTATTAAACGTGACAACAAGCTGTGCAATTTTTTTATGTCAACTTTGAAAAAAGTTGGTCCAGGAAAAGATATTTTAAAAATTTATGCGTAAAATATTTAGTATTTTTTTTAATAAAATTGTTTTAACAAATAAATAAATCAATTAATTGACATTTACATCAATAGACTTCGATTTTGAACCAATCAACTTGTTAATCATATTGTAATTGCTTACCTTTAATTGTTTGAAAATATCGCTATCTCAGAAGACACATTTTAATAAAGCTCTTGAATCATACACTACGTTGTACTTTTATTCAAATAAATCAAAATGAGTTTTTATGGATTGTTCCTTCTTATTAAATTTTTCTTTACATATATTTCAAACCCTCGATATGTTTCCTTCTTGTCGTTGAATATTTTATAAAATAGATAGAAAATTAAAATTTTGATGATAATTCATATTTATTTTCTGACAATATTTTTGATCATTATAATAGTCATTCTAATACAAGAACTTGTCATAGTTAAAGAAGTTATTGTATCAGAATGTCGATAAACTACACAAACACACAATTTTAATAATTTAATAACATGCTAGAAAATACAGTACTTCATTATAACTTTCTGATGTGCTGTGTATATAAACTAAGTTCAAGGTAAGCTCTACACTTCTCCGCCGAGTAGTTATCATTGTACTTAATGTTCACATGTGTTGTGATAAAAAAGGTTAAGTTTATTTGATTGAAATCAATAAACTATAGTCAACCGATATTTTAAAACATTTTCTTATAGTAATCATATAATAAAAAACAGTATAGAGATGACGAAAAGTTATTAGAACATAATTAAGGTTTTTGATACGGTGTATTGACAACGAATATTTTTTTCTTTACTTATGTCGCCATAATAATCCAATCATAGGTTGAATTTGAAAACTACAAATATAAGATATCAACCATTTAGTTTCAATTTTAAATTTATTTTAGATTAATTACAAATTAAATTGTACGAACCTAAATTTTCCAATCAAATGTAAAGTATAAATGTTTAGGTACACGTGATATTAATTCAATTCATAAATACAATGAAAAATTACCAAAAAATATTACAAAATAACGAAAATTAAAAGTATAACAAAAATATTCAATTATAATAATTGCCTTGTCTGCATAGATTAGTGTATAAATATATATTGCACGAGGGATTGTCGCTTACCGTTTTTGATACACATCAATTCCCAAGGCTACTGATAAAAATAAAACTGAAAAAGCTCATTTCTTCAAGATCCAATTTTCTTTATTATTTAGTGAACTTATTTTAAGTGGAAATTATCGTAACAAGGTTTTAATTATCGAGCATAGCTCGCTATGGAATAAGAAGGACATAATAATTTTTTAAATCAGAAACAATTTTGAAATTTTTTAAAAAGAATATGCATTTAAGACACTTATATTTTAAAAACATATTTTTATGTGGTATCAGCTTTGATTTCGCATATCAAGTTTCTATTTCTAACCACAATTGGTATTAGAAGGTCTATTTTGTATTTTACACAAATCATTCAATAACTGTGTAAAAATTGAATGTAAATGTAATGCAACTCGTGTATACGGAAACTATTATACAACATGTAAAATGTTTTGTAGAAGGATAAGGAGGAAATTTTATGTAACTGCCAAAAATAGTATATGTATAGTTAGTAATCCTATGACGAGTAGCAATGTTATCATAACGAAAATAACTACCTCAAAAATGTAAAAATTAATTTTTAATTCATTTAATCATTGTGTACAATTAAATCCTTCGACAATGTCAGTCATTAACCTGATTAATAGATACGGTGATTTTGAAAAGCTCTTGGGATTATAATTATGGTTATAAGTTATACTGTTACTGTAATTAATATACTCAATGTATAATTCAGTCACGTTCTTTAATTAATACAATTAAATCTAGATCATTATTGTTTTAATAGACATGATAGACTAACGGAACAAAAAAATTTGAGTATCGTTGGAACTTTAAACATTTTTAACAGTTTTCATTAATAATTTTAAGTATTTAGAACAATTCCATAAATACTTTCAATAAGAAAATAATTTACACTAAAATTTAGTACATAGTAAATTCTATTATTTATTTTTCGATGGTCATAAGCACTCATAACGTCAATGATAATACGAGTATTAAATTGTATTTAATTTTATTATTAGACACACGTTAAATGCCACGAATTCGTAATTAAAAAAAGCTTAAAAATATTTTTATTTAGCAGTAAGTGGTATGCGTTCACTACCAATATGGTACGTGACACGTTTCTTTATTCAACATTCGTATTCTTAAATAAAAATAAGAAACAATGGCGTGTGTACTATTTATGTGGTCATATAAGGAATACATTTTTGCATGCTTTTTATAAAATGTACAAGATATGATTTTGAGATGGTCTCGGTCCAAAGTATATAATAATAAGCTATGTAATAATTGGTTTATTAAAATTTTTGAACTTAATGTTGAGCATTCAATTTCTGACACTTAAGTTCCAAAATATTTGTTATGACCGACTGTAATATCTGCATTAATTTTTTATTTAAAACTTCCATTGTAATGCGATACTATTATTATTATGATTGAATTCTACAACCGCACTGACCATAAAACGAATGTAAAACAAAACACACGAGCATGATACTTTGTTGCAATGTTAAATATAAATTTATGTAAGTAAAAAGTTAGTAGGAATCGTAAAAAGTGTTCCACGTTATATATATATTCATTTGAACAATACGTTGATCCTAATGTTGTTTATACCTTATGAATTTTATTCTCTAACCCAACGGCATTAATTAATGAGATCGTAGACTCCTTAATGCCCTTTGAAGTCCAGTGTTGTTTTATAAATCGAAAATTAAACCCATTCAATTGGCATTTTAACTTTTGAAATAACTACCTTAGCTCAGTACACGTCCTACTGAGAATAGACCACGTTTTAAAATTAAAATTGAATTTCACCATTCGGGTCTATATAAACTAAACTACTGGCCACACAACCTTGGACAAATATAATTATTTATACATCTTATATCATAATCTAGTCAATACTTTACACATTGCCCGGAGTAAAATTAAATAATACAAAAGCGTAAGAGTTGTGAATAATTTATATTATTATACTGGAGCTCCAATATCTCTGAGATGGTGAGAGTTTACCGAAGAGCTTACCGTGCCGGATCTCTAAACGAGGTCACGGGTGTGGAGGTGACGGAAAACACTGCAACTGCTCGCACTAGTATTGATAGTGTTTTTTATTACTGTAGGCCATAGATGGTAGTTGGAATGATAACAATATGTTCACAACAAACTTTTAACACCTGTCAGAAATATTTATAGTGATATCAAATTACATTGGAATTAAAACAAAATGGCTTATGTTAAATCTAAAAACTTATTTCGTAGACAAAAGAAAAGTTCATAACTACACGCCACTTTCGTTGTCAAATTGACCCTGTCCCTTTGATTTTTTGATTAAATTAAAATATAGATTATACGAGATTAAAGTTATTTCGTATTATTAATGATTTAATTTTTTAAACCCCTAAACATAGTTTTACGTCAATCACAAAAAAGCGGTTCTTTTAATATATCGAATCAGACGTTTGGAAAATACATTAATATAAATACGTTAAATAAATGGCTAAAAGACTAAATAGTTCCGTTGAAATGAAATTTCCAGAACTTTTAGTCCTGAATTTGTCGAAACAAAGTTTGATTATTCATGCAAACATTTCAAAGGTTTTGAATGATTTTATCAAGACATTTCATTCTTAATGATGCGAATAAAAGTAAATTCAAACTATATTCTGTGTCGCCTTTAAGTTCTGAGTGTTGATCGAATAGAGTAAAATGTAATTTTTTGTCATCATCAAAAATGAATGTCATTCAATTTAAGCTACTTTTTCATCGATTTTCTCTCTAAAAACATTAATTTTTTAATTTTAACTTGATCAAAATTTATTTTTTTAATAACTTATATATAAATCAGAGTAATATTATTGAATAATTTATACTTCATTTCATGTGATTTTCCACAGAATTAGATAGCAAAAACTTAATTACTTCACATAAAATATTGTCATCCCTATTTTGATTGACTTAATGAAATTTTTAAACATATTTTTTCCTATTGCTGTATATATCATCATAGAAATAATTTCAAAAAGAGTGTATTTGATTCTAAATAAGTACAGTTAGATTTATATAATTCACAAAGTTTACATTTTTTATTAACTTACCTTGAATTTTTTATGTTCCGCGTTATGATTATTATGACACTCCATTTCTATATACTTGTATATAAGATTTATTAATTATTAATCTACATTACTATCATGATTTTAAAAATCATGCAATGACAGAGTAACATTTTTAATTAATAAAATAATGTTGTGATAACATGTGTACATAATATATTGATTTGTTTGAGTGTACTAAACAAAACAAATTTTAAAAGTACCATGCCAATTCAATTATTATAATGGTTTAAAACGTTAAAATGCTTGTTAATAATACAATGTAAAAATTAAATTATAAAAACTAATGTAATTATTCTCTGGAAATAACATTGAAATACATCTTTATTCATTAATTAAGCTTATACTTATTTCAAAATAATTACAATTCAATCTTGATTTTCATTTATATAAATAACTCGTAGGTTATTTCATATAAATTAGATTCAAAAAAATATAAATGCATTATGAAAATGAATATTCAAATTCAATAAACGACACGTCGTTATTTTTCAAGTTGTTTTATTACGTGTTTACTTACTAAACAACATATTTTATGAAAACAAATTTAAAGAGCAACCTAAAAATAACAGTTAGTTGTAATCTTGCAATGGTATAATACTAATTTTCCGTACATGATAATAAAAAAAAAACCGTCAAGTACCATTAAAATAATTTCACTGATTAGTTTTTTTTATTATAAAAAATATATATTTCTAAATTTATTTAAATGTCTAAATTAAAACTAAGGTCGGTTAATTTAAATAATTCTTATAATTTATTTTTAATAAAATATATTGAATTAATATACTGAATTAAAAAATAAACCGGTAGAACTAAAATCCCCTTCTTCTATACGTTTATGGAAATGTAAAATTATACGGAATAAAAATCTTAATAATAATGTGACAAAGGAATGACAAAATTCAATTTACTTCCTATTACAATTCATATTTTGATAGAAATGTTGTAAATTAAAACGCAGTCAGCTCAATAATTTTCGGAATAGAATTTGAATTCCACTATACTTGTAATAAGTATAACTTCATGAATGATTTATATACACTAAAATTTGAACAAAATGAACGAATCTAGTCAATTTTTAATTCCGTTGAAATTTTATTACATTAACGGTGCGGCGCCCTGAGATTATTAATTTATACAAATCGTAATGAACAACCAAAATGTAATTACGTACAGCAAAAATAAACCACTTATTTTCGATGGAACACTTTGTCGGTGTACCAAATAGGCGCGAAAAACTTTTATTACTGTCCTGTCATTAAAACGAGTAGGTTATAAAATTACATATTGTTCGTAGCAATCAATATACGTCGAAATTATAGCGTTTTGTCGATTTCGTGCAAGTGTGTTGAGGACTTGAAGTGCGCTTATTAGTTTCAGCAAATAATACATATTACTAAGAGATTCGATATTGGCGTGTGAACTACTGGTGTTTGATGTCACGGGTACGGTATTGCGTTTCGCATAATTATTAAGTATAAGTGTCTTGTTCTACCGCGAAAAACATCATTTTTGGAGAACACGTTTTATTAGCCGTACAAATAATCTCGATTGTAAACACCATACACTTGGCAGATAAACAATAATATGAGTTTCAGTTTAAATTATAGATAAATTGAAGAAACATTACGCTGCCACTTCAAATTTAATATACTAAAAAACATACAAAAACTGATCAGTCGAAAATCGTAGTTGGAAAATATCTACTAATTTGACCCATTCTTTTTGCAGTGTTAACAACCAGACAGTAATTCATTTACATTTTACGCGCGTATCAAAATTAATTAATAACTGTTATAATTATTCCTCAATTACAGTATTCCTATCAAAATACGCGTAAATCGAACGTAGGAAATCGATAGACAACTCAATTTCTAATAAACTACATTAAACACTTTCGATAGTCTAAGCGGAAAAACACATTTTGAAAAGTAAAGAATTTTCCGTTTAAAAACATTAAAAGATCCATTGCGGTGCTCAATGTTTTACGAGCTGGGGCTGATTTTTAATGCACATTGCGATGGCCGCCACACGGCAGTAAATATTACAACTACAATAATTACTGTGGCGTGTGAGTTGCTATCATGCGGCACTTTTTTTTAGGACCTTGCTCGGAGACCAAGGACAAAACCGGCTAGGAACTCACGCTAGGCTACAACCCTCGGGCACACTGAAAAACACATGACTGGGAGACAATAGTATTTCAATTTTTTTGCAAGCGCATATGTAGTAATTATCCGACTAGGGGTCAAATTACTGGCTGATCGATGTACACTTGTATGCCCAACCGTCTAATAACAAGTTATTTTATCCCATAACGTTGTATTATGCACATTTCAACATTATAATGACAAAAATTCTCCATGACACGGTACACGTACAAAATATCACCACGTTTTAAATGAAATCATTATGAATCTACTATTTTATTGTATCGCCATCAATTATCCATTATTAATGCAATGGACATACTAGACTCGTTCGGTTTAATGGGAAACTTTTATAGATTGCTAAAAAAAAAACGTGTTTACAGCTACGTAGCGGCCGACAGACCAGCAGAATACTAACAATTCTTTAGGATAATATTTTATTAAACATAATAAAAAAAAAACAATAAACTATAAACGCGTGCAATGTCTTATAGTATAACTGTTTTTCCGTGTGTGACCGTCGTCGCCTTATTAAATTAGAGCTAATTACAATATAACTGGATGGAAACATTATGGTTTGATATTCTTTTATGATTTCTCGTCTGATGGTTCTTTAACGGTGCTTTTGAGTAATTACTATTATGATTACTTAATAGGTTTCCAGTAATGGTAAATTGTATCTGACTGAGAACTGAACATTTACAAGAAAAATAAATACGTTTTTATCTGTATTTTTAATAGTCATATTCAAATAAACGTTAATGTAGTTTTTTATTCATTTTAAGCATTCTCTTTTCCAACGATGCCCTTTATAATGTTGTATTATGCAAAGGCTAAAGTGGATTACCTATTTCGATCGCGATGTAATTTTTTTGTAATTCCTCGAACAAAAGTTGCATATTGTAAGTTATTACAATATTACCTTCGTAAAGTTATAAAGTTCGTCCGTCTGACGAATCCACTCGAAGATAAATTATGTAACCAGCCGTGAGATTACACTCTATTATATTTAAGTGCTCAGAGCTCGACAACGTTACGACCGGACATGAACTTATGGAAGACAATAGACGTTCGAATGTGGTTAGACGTTTCCCGGCATGGCTATTTATTTTTGGCAGATAAAAGTAATATTACTCGCCCGAATCGATATCAACGATACAAATTAAACGCGTTCCAGACGGCGGTGTTTTATTTAACTGTAAAAAATCATCGAGGATAGTGCGGTTTCTGTCTAACCTGAAGTCGTGTTACTTTTAATAATCATGGGAGAGAGGACATTTTTCCACCGGCAAAACAATAGTCATAATTAGCCTTGTCACAAAATCTTCATTATTTATGTAACGATGAATAAATCTGCCGAGTAAAACACGACGACAACCGGTTGCATAATAAAATTAGTAAAAAAAACCATTTCTGCGGTATCGCATTATTGACCTGCGATTGGCTACTAAGTTTGACATATCGAAATGTCGGCGATCACGACTGAAATTTATTGTGAATTCAATAACAAATCTCTTACAATAACAACAATAAGACCGACTTAATAAATATTTCCGAACATTTTCTCAAATGTTTGATTAGTGTAAACATTTCAGTGGAACGAAAACAAAAACCATCGAGTTGTAAAACAACGCACACAGTATTTGTTGTAAAGAGTCTGATCTGAAAGTACTATCACTTGTCGTTCTCCATCGTATTGCTCTTAGACACGGTCAAGTAAGTCGACGATTTCGGTCGGCACTTGAAAATTTCATCGTGTACAATTAACAAGAGAAAAATTTAATGGTTCAGTATGACTTTTTTTTTTTCTAGTCGTATTTATAACACATGTGACGCACGACGCGCCGGCAATATCTTAAGATTACATGTTTGTTGGGTCGTATAAGCACACGTTGAATACGTGACACATTAATTATTTAACATTGTCTCAGTAAAAAACGTATACAACCATGTACACGCGTTCAGCTGCAAGCTACGAAGACGACGCTGTCCGAAGAGAGTATTCTCGTCGTCCGTAAAATTTGTGTGGTTGGTCTTCACGTGTATTCAAATCCCAATGAACACTTGAAAAACTCTTCAACGAGACATAATCGTGTTTAGTGTAAAATATATTCGTTAGTTCGTCTGACGTTTCGAGTTGACGTTAAATGTTCATTTAGCTCAATCTTCTTTCTATTATTTTCCTTCCTCAAAAGAAAAAAAATAATTAAGATTAAAAAGTATCTCATAACGGTGATTTTTTTCGAAAATTCTTAATTTACGTTCACTAATTATAAGCCGATGTAGTCGTGCTTGTAAAATACTTTTACGGATTAAAATATTTAATTAGCGACCATGAAGATGTCACGAATGTGTTCTAATTTAGGAATTTCATAATGAACTATTTGAATAACAGTTTTTCTGATGTTTTGCTGTCGTTCAAAGTCTCGATGATAGACAGCCAGCAATGAAATATAATAATTATCACTTTACTTTCAATTATGACAGATAATGATGTTTTACCGATCGAGACTAGGCCAGACAATAATTTCGACGAATGTTCTTGTGGAGAAATTAAATATTAACAATTTTGTGGTATGTTACTTGAATTTGGTAAAAAAAATAAACTGTGCAGATGAACTGGAGGCATTTTGTGGGAGTCCACTGAAACCATACGTTTCTGCCAGTAAGTGCAACGAAGTATAATATTATTAGTATGCTGGACGATACCGAATTTCGTGTAAGCCAACAAACCAGTTCCATTGCGCATAACTGTAAAAAAAAAATGATTTAGCAATAGTGTTGGTTTGAAAAAAAGTTCTACGAACGGTGTTAATAAAGAAAATACAGTATCCTGATAGTAATCGAGAGTTCGTATTGTTTTTTTTTATGGTTAGTTCACGAAATCATATTGTTACTATAATAAGCACACATAAGAATATAAAATCTATCCAATAGGAACGAGTCATAGTTTTTATAGTAAACTGAATTCAGGTATAAGAAATCAACGACTTAAATCTTCCTTATACATTCATTCAAAACCTTAGACTTAAATTCTAGTGGTAAATACGTTTGCAAT